TAGAAAGATGGAAAGTACAAGGAGTAAGTATATTTTAAAGAGGAGAAGTAGATGAAAGTCAGGAAGAGCGTCCTCGATAGGGATAACCGCTGACGTTTCCTTTTATGTATTCTTATATAATAAATATCTGATTTGATTTGATTTGAAGGAGGCGGAGGAGGATAGAAAGATAGGGAGTAGAGGGAGTAAGTATGTTTTAAAGAGGAGAAGTAGATGGAAGTCAGGAAGAAGGAGGAGGAGGAGAAGAGAGTTGAGGGGAAGGGAGGATTAGAAGAAGGTGGGGAAGGAGGAGGAAGATGAGGAAGAGAAGGGGGTTGTTGGAGACAAAGACGAAGAGAAGTATTTTGGAAGAGGGAGATATAGGACGTGAAGAGCTGGAGAAAGGAAAAAGATAAAAAACTAAATCGCGGAGTTGTAATGCTGAAGAAAGTTAAGTATCATACATGTATTCTTTTTTTTAATCAGCACCAAACGTCAAAGGAGAGGATGGCGAAGTCAGCGAGGCACTTATAAAAAAAGGAACACTGGACGAAGCGAGCAAGAAAAGCATTCCAGCGGAACTCTTAGTCGTCGTCAGAAGACAGGCTGTGGATCTGTTGCTAGGCGACAGGAACAATCAGAAGGGTATAGATGCCTTGCGGTTTATTAAAGATGTGACGACTGGAAGAAATGATGTGGAACAGATCAGGAAAGGTAATTCATTTTTCTAGAAGGCAACTGGAGAGAGAAAATGGTGAGGCAGCAGCTTCTTTGAATCTTGGTGTTTTGGCATTTTAAATCCATGACGTCCAAAAAAGGCCCTTTAGTCCTGTACGTATCGTATTTGCTAGATTAGAATGCCGCACAGGATTCATTTCGCAGATGGATTCAAACTTAACAATAAAAGCCGCCCTCGAATATACACCCCAACCAACCAGAAAAAGCGGTGTTTGTCTGAGAATTATAAGATTATACCCTCCACCACCTCCCAGACAACTGCGATTTTTTTCTCATGATCAGGAAAAGAAAGCGTGATACTGGAACTTTCAACTTCTTTCTGTTTTTCATAATGTTCAGNCACTGGACGAAGCGAGCAAGAAAAGCATTCCAGCGGAACTCTTAGTCGTCGTCAGAAGACAGGCTGTGGATCTGTTGCTAGGCGACAGGAACAATCAGAAGGGTATAGATGCCTTGCGGTTTATTAAAGATGTGACGACTGGAAGAAATGATGTGGAACAGATCAGGAAAGGTAATTCATTTTTCTAGAAGGCAACTGGAGAGAGAAAATGGTGAGGCAGCAGCTTCTTTGAATCTTGGTGTTTTGGCATTTTAAATCCATGACGTCCAAAAAAGGCCCTTTAGTCCTGTACGTATCGTATTTGCTAGATTAGAATGCCGCACAGGATTCATTTCGCAGATGGATTCAAACTTAACAATAAAAGCCGCCCTCGAATATACACCCCAACCAACCAGAAAAAGCGGTGTTTGTCTGAGAATTATAAGATTATACCCTCCACCACCTCCCAGACAACTGCGATTTTTTTCTCATGATCAGGAAAAGAAAGCGTGATACTGGAACTTTCAACTTCTTTCTGTTTTTCATAATGTTCAGAAATAATTTATCGTAATTGATGCCTGTGATTTAGAAAAGTGATTTTTATAAACGCTGCATCGGAAACGCTAAACATGCATAAAAAAAAACGCCGCAACGTTTTTATCGAAGTAGCCTTTGTACTTTTGCATACATCAAACTTACAATATTAAATTCATTTTCACCGCCATCAATCAAGGCAAATGTCGAGCACCTGGATGGGCTTATAAGACACATTACCTACTTACGACCCCAGAGGGGGATTCCTGTAATGACAATTGTCTCCTCTCCCGTGCCCAGTACCACTCGGCCATAAAATACAAGTCATAAAAGGGATGACATAAATATTTACAGTCAAATATATATATATATATTTTTTTCAGACGCCGAAAGAAAACTTGCCTTTTTAGATGTAGAAGGATATGACATTTTTGGAAAGAGCTCTCTTTTTGTTCCACTCATTAAATGGGAAGCGTTTTATGAGGATGTGCAAACCATAAAATCAGCGGCTGAAGTTTATGAACAAACATTCAACGACATTATTGCAAGCGTGCAGAATAATGAAAATTTTCAGCAGGTAAACTAAAGATATAACCGGGGAAGTGCAGGGATATTTATTAGCAAGTGTTCTCCGCAAAATATAAGTAAAGCTAGGTTCCACTAATATTTTTTGATTATATTATGGTAAGACTATAGTTTACAGGTTTCACAGGTTTACGTTTAAGCCAAAAAGTGAAAAGAAAGTGAAAAGAGAAAGGATTGTGGAGGAGAGTTTAGAGCAATGGCGCCTCCAAGAAAGGTGGCCTCATTTGAAAACCCGGAATTGCTTGAGAGTAAAACCGACATTTCGTGACGTTACCACTGGTTTGTGCTCAAAATGGCGTCTGAGGAGCGAGCGCAGAAATTCCATACTGATGAAGTGCAATTACCCATAACTGGGTAGTGCTTCTGGTTGGTTGAAGCAAATATCCCTTGCCGCACCACAATCTACACAGGTCTTGGTATTGACATATGTCATCACTTAGGGAGCTCAAACAAGTA